TCTGGTCAGATTTTAGCAGAGCCCTGTAATTCTCACTAGGATACTTTTAGGAGAATTAGTTTAATTGTACTCAGATTGCTTCTTTAAAAACCAAAACCTATCCAGTTGTTAGTTAAAATGTAAGTGACGGGTCACATAACAAAACTGGAAGAAAGTTCAAATAAAGTGGCATGTAGGACAAAATAAAAAATGAATATAAATCCCACCTGCAGCACTCATATTACTTCAGTGGTTATTTATTTCCTGGACAGCAGTGACTATAATGAACGCGCAAACAGGAACTGTGCAAAGACCCAACTTCAGGCAGCAAAAACAGATCCAGAGATACACTTGCTATGCTACTGATGCCCCTTTGTGTGCTGCATCAAAATAAAACCACTCACAACTGGGATGTAAACTGATGAATGCTGTCATAACTAGCATCTTAAATCAATCAACTACTCCTTGAACAGAAGGATTTTAGGTAGTTTATTCCTCTGTCCAAGCAGATTTGAATTTGATTACAACTTTGAGAGACATGAAATCAAAAGCTTTATTACAATCTGAATATGACACCCATTCATTTAATAGTGTCCAATCATTTATAGATATTTATATTGATACTTGCATGTTGATTAAGGACAATGTTACGTGGATTGTAAATTGTGTGGAGGATCCCTAAATAACTATTATAAATGACAAAGTGTCCTGTGAAAAACTACAGGGATCTGCTAAGTCTGATCTTATTCAAGAGGAAGTAACATCATTGCATTCAGAGGAGTTGCAGACACCAGTGAAAAGGGAGAAGTAATCCAAAGGAACTTAAAGAAATACCTGTTAACAGCAAGCTAATGCCTCTGATCAGAAAAATCCAAATACTTTTCAGTTTTCAGCTGTATGCATATGACACCATAGGAGAGGTAATAATCCTTCTGCATACAACACTTTAGTAACCACACCTGGAATATTTTGTTTAGTTCTGCACACTTCATTAAATTGACAAATGGGAGGGACCTCAGCAAGGAAGCTCAGAAAAGATAACTAGAATGGCCAGGAGGCTGAAAAGTAACCTATAAAGAAGTTGAACTATGCATATTTAGGGCTCTTAATCTAAATGACGACAATGGCCATAGTAGAAGATGGAGATAAGTCTACAGAGTGTATGAGTGTGAAAACAGAGGATGAAGTGTGAGTGTTAAAATGAGATGAAGAACTATTTAGCATACTAAAAAGGGATGAAATTGAGAAATTGAAATTGAGAAGGGTTTTATCTTGAGTAAGGAACTGTGCCAAATCAGATCTAGTAACTCTAAAATTTCAGTATATTAGAACACCCTTGTTAAGACTTTAAATGTGAATATCTTGGATTTCTGTTTCAAGAAAAGAAAGAAACATTCAACATATATGTATGACCTTGAATCTGACTGTGCTGGTTTGGCCAAATGCATACTTCCTATTTTAGATTTGAAGCCAAAAAGAAACAAACAGTGCTTTTCTGTAAGACAACTGGCATATTTGAACTATTATTTTGTGGTATAGTTTAAAAAAAAATTATAAATTCTATTCTGTTTTCCTGCATGAAGTCTTTATGCCTGATGTCAACAAATAGGGGAAGAAAGAATTATTCAAATAATATATTAGGAAACTATCATCATGAATACAAAAAAAAATTAATGCAATATTGTGGTTGAGTTTTGAAAGGCACAATAGTCAGGAAAGCCTTAGAGTTCCTGATGCAAATATAACTCACCCCCCCCCCTCACACTTTGTAGCTGCTTAAATTTCACAATTGAAATGAGCAACCTGGCCCTAACTTGAGGTGCAGACCATCCCTGGTCATCCAGTCCCAGCTTCTGGCAGTCAGTCAACCTGATTGGCAGAAGCTGGGACTGGATGACCAGGGATGGATCATTCAATAACTGCTCTGGTCTGTTCGCACCCCCTGAAGTATCTGGCAGTGGCCATTGTCAGAGAAAGGATACAGAGCTAAGTGAACTATTGGTCTAACCCAGTATGGCCATTCTTATTTCTAACCCACATTTCAAACTGAAAGCAACAGGAGTTGCAGATATATCAAATATATATACTTGGACTGACGCTGAGATGGAAATAGGAGAGACTTGTTGAAAGTTTCTAGGTAACGATAAAAGGGGTAAAAAACGAGAGTGATGTCATGATAGGGGTCTACTACAGATCATCTAACCAGGAACAAGAGGCTTTTTTTAAAACAACTAACAAAATCAGCCAAAGCACAGGACTTGGTGGTTATGGGGGACCTGAACTATCCAGACATCTGTTGGGAAAATAACATGGCAGGGCACAGATTATCCAACAAGTTCCTGGAATGTACTGGAGACAAATTTTTATTTCAGAAGGTGGAAAAAGCTACTAGGGGAGAGGCTGTTCTAGATTTCATTTTGCTAAACAGGAAGGAACTGGTTAAGAATATGAAAGTGGAAGGCAGCTTGGGTGAAAGTGATCATGAAATGACAGTTCATGATCCTAAGAAATGGTAGGAGGGAAATCAGCACAATAAAGATAATGGATTTCAAGAAGGCAGACTTTAGCAAACTCAGGGAGTTGGTAGGTAAGAGCCTATAGGAAGCAAGTCTAAGAGAAAAAACATTTCAAGAGAGTTGGCAGTTTTTCCAAGAGACATTGTTAAGGGCACAAGAGCAAACTATTCCAATGCATAGGAAAGATAGGAAGTATAACAAGAGACACACACACACACACCAGTTTAACCAAGAGATCTTCAATAATCTGAAACTCAAAAAGAAGAGTCCTACAAAAAGTGAAAATTAGGTCAAATTACAAAGGATGAATATAAACAAATAACACAAGTATGTAGAGACAAAATTAGAAAGGCCAAGGCACAAAATGAGATTAAATTAGCTAGAGACAAGAAAACATTCTACAAATACATTAAAAGCAAGAGGAAGACCAAGGACAAGGTAGTCCTGTTATGTGGTATACCTTGAATTTAGTAATGCTTTTGATACTGTCTTGCATGACTTTCTCATAAAAAAACTAGAGAACTACAACCTAGATGGAGCTACTATAAGGTGGCTGCATAACTGATTGGAAAACCATTCCCAGAGAGTAGTTATCAGTGGTTCACAGTCAAGCTGGAAGGGCATATTAAATGGGGGCCCTCAGGGATCAACTCTGGATCCGGTTCTGTTCAATATTTTCATCAATGATTTAGATAATAGCATAGAATACGATGATTTAGATAATGGCATCAAGTTTTCAGACAATACCAAGCTGGGAGGGGTTGCAAGTACTTTGGAGAACAGGATTAAAATACTAAATGATCTGGACAAACTGGAGAAATGGTCTGAAGTAAACAGGATGAAATTCAATAAGGACAAATGCAAAGTACTCCATTTAGGAAGGAACAATCAGTTGCACACATACCAAATGGGAAGCGACTGCCTAGGAAAGAGTACAGTGAAAAGGGATCTGCGGGTCATAGTAGAACACAATCTAAATACGAGTCAACAGTGTAACGCTGTTGCGCACACACACACAAGAAGTAAACATCATTCTGGGATGTATTAGCAGGTGTGTTGTAAGCAAGACACAAGAAGTAATTCTTCTGCTCTACTCTGCACTGATTAGGCCTCAACTGAAATATTGTGTCCAGTTCTGGGGACCACATTTCAGGAAACATATGGACAAATTGGAGAAAGTCCAGAGAAGAGCAACAAAAATTATTAAAATTCTAGAAAACATGACCCATGAGGGAAGACTGAAAAAATTGGGTTTGTTTAGTCTGGAGAAGAGAAGACTGAGTGGGAACACAAGTATATAAAAGGTTGTTACAATGAAGAGGGAGGAAAATTGTTCTCATTAACCTCTGAAAATAGGACAAGAAGCAATGGGCTTAAATTGCAGCAAAGGCGTTTAGGTTGGACATTAGAAAAGATTCTTAACTGTCACAGTAGTTAAGCACTGGAATAAATTACCTAAGGAGGCTGTAGAATCTCTGTCACTGGAGATTTTTAAGAGTAGGTTAGACAAATACCTGTCAGGGATGGTCTAGATAATACTAAGTCCTGCCTTGAGTGCAGGGGACTGGACTAGAAGACCTCTCGAGGTCCTTTCCAGTCCTACGATTCTATGATTCTATGTCTAGTGCACTTCTGAAAATTAGGCCCTCTGCTTCTCAGTGTCTAGTTGTAACTGCCTGGTTTGGAACCTTTAGAACTCAATCAGAACTCTGAAGGAACTGTTTTATAAATAAATAATAAATTAGAAAGGGAATCTCTAGCATTATATGTGTGTGATCCATACTCCATTTTTCTTTTGCTGGACTTTTGTAATTGGTGCAATCAAATCCATCAATGCTTGTGATGGCTCTCCCACTAGTACAAATCCCATGAGTCATATTGGGAAATATATGCCAATGGAAGCAGTTGCGATTGTTGTCAGTTCTACACCTAGTGCTAACAATACCTCTAAGGAGTGGTCTACACGGGGGACAATCAGGAAAGGTGAATCAACTAAAGTCATGCAGTCAATGTGTATAACTTAGTGTGTTTACCTCCGTCCCCAGGTAGATGTTTTAATTCAGGAGCAATGTAACCTTAGGAGGACTAAGTTACAGGAAATGTAGACCGCTTTACTCCTGAACGAAAGCATCCACAGGGGTTAAATGTACGTTATGTGCATTGACTTCACACCTTTAGTTGACTTGCCTTAATTTTGATAAATGGCCTGGTAGAGACATGTAATTTAGTGTTTAGGAGGAGGAGGAGGAGGGGTGTTTCACACTAACTTATGGGGTTTTTAGTTAAAATGCCTATTGTCCACATAATACAATTCTTCTTTCAATTTAAATGTCCAGTTTTTTACCAAGAGGATAATCTCTTTTGAAGGTGCATTAAGTTAACTAAGGAATGAGTTAGTGCAAAATAAGATTTGTGTGGATGCATCTATTTCACATTGACTTAGCAGTCCTCCCACTGTTATCTCATACTGCAATGCATGATGCCAGGCCCGAGCTGTCTGTTTACCTGTGCGTCTTCTACTGTTATGGCATCTTGATCAGATTTTTGCTGTGAAGCCACCACCAAATCTCATTTGTCATGGGTCTGCAGTATCATCCCTTTTGGCACTGTCCAACGTTGACCAGGACTCTAAGTAGGTGAAGGAAGGGAGCTTCTCTGAAAGCCAAGATCTCTTCCTCACACAAAAGTCTGAGGCAGTCAAATGAACATGCAGCTCCTGAAAGCCAGGTGGACACCCAGCCTGATGGACCTGGGGAGGGGACTTCTGCGAGTAAGTTTGGTGCTATATTAAATAACTGTATAGAAGGGTTGAATATTTTTTTGTTGTGGATGCCTGCTAGATGCTGCCATCGTGGGCAGATGTGATCTAGGAGCCTCTCTGGGCCTGCTAGCTTGGAAATATCCCCCAGGGCTTTAAACTGCATCTGCACTGGGGAAGTTTAGTTCCATGACTATTTGCTGCCCATATATATTAATAGCCCACTGGGCTGCCCCCCCTCCCTATACCACTATGGTCTCCTTTCTCATTCCAGATTCCTCAACCACTATGCCCTAGCCCTCCCCGTAGTCAAGTAGGATTTTAATAAAGAAACACTATAATGTAACCATGTTCATTGAAACACTAGATGCTGTGAAAATAAAGCAATATTAAAAAAAAAAAGGACATTGATTTATAATTTGTGCAATGCCCTGAGATTTCAGCTATCTTAGCATTTTATGAGATACATTTCCCCAAAGTGGGACAGGACAGAGATAAGGCAAGTCAGCCTTCCAGCTACGTTATCCCTGTAAGTTCTGAACTATTGCAGAACTCTTCATTTTGCAATGCATTTGGTGCATGTTGGAGATGCGATAAAGTAGAATTGAAGGCAAACAAAACATCTTACCATCTTCAGAGTCACTCCAGACTGGCAAAAGGCTACGGAAATGGCATTCTAAAAGAGAGGAAAAAGCAACATTTTATCATTGGTGACATGAAAACTGAAATTAGTACAATAACTACTTGTTCTGTTTTCAGTTCCCCCAGCTCTTGCACCCGAAGCCCTGTGACCGCAACAGACTGGACTATTATCTACTGTGGATCACGTAGCCAATCTCCAGGGCAAGAAAAGAAATACAAAGCAGGAAATGTGGGGTGAGCTGCAGTCAGAGTCCAGAACAGGACCAAGAAGACAGAGGACTGGAGAGGAGTTTTCATTGCAGAAAATTAGGCCAGAGATATCACTAGAAGACAATTGAACTGATGAGGCAAACTCTAGGAAACCTCTAGGATGTGCCAAACCAGCTCCTTGAACTGATGACAAAGCAGTTTTGCTGGAGACCCTTAGAGTGCCATCTTCCTACCCAACACTACAGTCACATCCCAGACATATCCTGCAGCCTGTGGACAATACTGCTTCCTGAGAGCAGCACCTGCACGTCCCAGAATTCCATCAGGCACTTTCCTGGGATGTGGTGTGCGGAGGAGAGTGAAAACACTGAATTCTGGGAACCCACCTTCATCCCCACAACTACAAACAATGGCTTCTGCTCTCACCATTCCACATATGAAGGGAAAGAGCACCCAGAAATCCTGTACAATCATGTTTACTCTGCACTTACAGGCAGGCTGTCCGTGTATCTGCAGAATTTAAAAATGAGCATTTTTTTCAAAATGCAACATATTTTATTGAGCTGAAATTTGCACTGTATTATTGTTTGTTACCAGGGTTACAAACTGGGACAGACTTATTCAATTTCTTGTTTTCATTTGATGTTTGTTAAAGTTTTGCTTGACAAAAGCTCAAAGTTTAATAAAATTTCAAATCTCAAACACAAAATCAACTTTCAGCAAATTGTCACACTAAGCAACTACAAAACACCAAATCCACACTCTCAAAACAATGAACACTGGCCAGAGAGCATAATATGATTAAAACATTTCAAAAACCTCCCAGTATAAACAAGACCTTAGAATCAGTAAGATGCCAAGACACTGCATTTTAAAGAACAAAATCTCTATTACTTTCCCGGCAAAGGCGAGAATGAAAAGGACTTGCTGCACATAGAGATAGAAAATTAAAGCTCTAGCAGTCATTTTCAGTCCGCGATCTCATCTACTTGGGGATTGGCCCAGCTTTGAGCAGGGGGTCGGACTAGATGACCTCCTGAGGTCCCTTCCAACCCTGATATATCTATGATCCCTCATCCCTCATGGAAGGTTTGGCAGCGGCTGCCAGTGTGAAAAGCCCATTTACTAGACACAGCCCGTGGCCCTGCCTGTCCCCGACAGGCGCGGGCGGTAACCGCGCAAGGACTCAGCAATGGGTTAGCCGCAGTTCTACGTTTCTTTCAACGTGGCCAACGAGACTCGATTAAGCCCGTTTCGCTACGAAACTCCTCCCGGGGCCGCGCGCTAGCAACGGGGGCCGCCGCTCTCCCCACACGGAGCGCTGGCTTGTAAAAACCTGGGCTCAGCTCACCCAACCCCAGACACCCCCGGGGCGGGCGAGCGGGCGGGCGGCCCCAGGGAGATACGTAGGCCCAGGACCATGAAGCTCACCGAGCTATTCTGGCTCTAGCCAGCACCTCGCCCTGCTACCGCCACCGCCAGCGAAGGACCTCAGGAACAGCAACACGCAGCAGTGCAGCCAACCAATCAGGGAGCAGGTTACACATTCGGCAAGGTGCCCTACCAATGGGGCTTTGGCTCTGTGCTCTTCCTGCTCGGGAGCTGGCAGGGCGGGATGTGAGGTGACGCATGCCTCAGCTAGCCAATAAGAGCATGAAGCGGGTGTGAGGGGCAGTCGTCTCATCCTGTGAGGCTGCGCGAGAGGCGGATGCTTCCTGAGGGGCGGGGCCCAGCCCGGTGGAACATGGCGAAGACCTACGATTATCTCTTCAAGCTGCTGCTGATCGGGGACTCGGGTGTGGGCAAGACCTGTGCGCTCTTCCGCTTCTCCGAGGATGCGTTCAATGCCACCTTCATCTCCACCATCGGTGAGCGCTGCCCCCTCAGCCGCGTCGGGCCCTTCGGGGACGGCAGTGGGCGAGCGAGCGAGACGCGGGGGGCGGGTGTTGCTAGGGGCCGGGCGGCCCGTGTGGCTGCGGGATAAGGGGGTTCCGGGGGGCAGGGGAGCTGCGTGTTCGGGTCTGGCGAGGGCAGCTCCGTGTGTCTGTCCATGGCGTGTGCACTCTTACGGATACAGATAGCCGGTAGGCCCGAGCTGCCGTGTGCGGGGTGGGGCACGGGGCCGTCCCCCGTCGGGAGGGGGCCGCACGCGGGATGAGGGGAATGATCTGAAACTGAAGGATTTGTATTGGCACTACGGTGTATTGTTGTTTGCCACTGTAAATTAAATCTAAATAGGGCACGCTCAGTCCGCAATAAGAGTCTCCACGCTGATGTGCACCGAAATAACTGCCCATTCCAACCCGGTCTACACTACACTACGCACTTTTGCTAGTGTTGGTTAAAGACATGCGGTTTGTTTGCAACATTTACATTACCAAAAAAGCCCTACCGTAGGCGAATATATACCAGGATAAAAGTGCTTTTACCAGTATAGCTTATTTTGGATGGAGAACTGGTATAAGCTACACCACTAAAAGCATTCTCCTGCCAATATAAGCTGTGTCTGCAGTAGGAGGGTTTGCTGGTATAGCTGTACCAGTAAATTTATTCTAACGTAGACTATGCCTTAGTTATTTCAGTTCCAGTTTGTGTGCAGACAGGTCCTTAGCTAGATAGTGTACTTCTATACTTTTTGCATAGCAGTTGAGGTTTCATACACTAACATATGGGGGGGAGTAATGTTACATCTGTAGAATTACATATGGAATTAAAAAATAAACAGTGTTGCTCTGAAATCTGACTTATTTTTTAGTCATACTAAAATAAGACTATTTTAAAATGTTAATTTTTCTTTGCCAGTTTTTGACATGTTGTCTTAGTAAGAAGAGACTACCCCACTGCTAAAACAAATTCTCTAATAGTCTATTAGAATTGAGAAAAGAGAAATCTAATAGATTGTAATTAGATGATACTTCCAGCGACCCTGTGTGGCATAATGCTTTGTTGACCTTGATACAGCTTTTCTGAAGTTATATTGAACTGTACATTCTGGTTCAGTTGTAGCTACAGTAGGTCAGGCTTTGGATGTGACTGTACTTAAAGGGTTTTTATTTATTTGGTGTAACAATGTTACAATTTCCCTGCTGGTTTACAACAGGTCTGCTTTCAACAGAGGCTTTGTGAATTTGCATCTAATCTATTAACTAAATGGAATGGGTGCCTTTGTTTTGGAAAGTTAAAGGGGGAAAAAGTGTTAATTTGGTCTATTCTGGAAATCTTAATTAATGTAGTTTTTTCCCCCAGGTATTGACTTTAAGATTAGAACCATAGAGCTAGATGGCAAGAGAATTAAACTGCAGATATGGTAAGTATTTTCTTTTAAAGCTATATGAATTAAGATAAAATGTTTAGTTCGTGCCAAGTATCTCTCTTTGCTTCACAATTTGCATACTGATTGGTGATATTATCAATAGGATTTTTTGCTCTAATCCTGCTCTTTGGGAGATTATAGTATCTGAGTTTATTGACGATGGGGTTTATATAAAATAGATCCTGTCAAACTAACTTGATATCTTTTTTTTTTCTATGAGATTACAAATTTGGTAGATAAAGGTAATAAAGTTGATATAATACACTTCTGTAAAGGTGTTTGATTTAGTACCACATGATATTTTGATTTTTAAAAAAATAGAACAATATGAAATTTAACATGGCATCCATTAAATGGATTAAAAACTGGCTAAGTGATAGGTCTTGACAATGTAATTGTGAATGGGGAAATCATTGAACAAGTACGTTTCCACTGGAAACAGTGGAGTCTTGCATGGATAACACTAGAACTAGGGGTCAGCAAATGAAATTAATAGGCAGCAGGTTTAAAACAAACAAAAGGAAGTATTTCTTCACACTACACAGTCAACCTGTGGAACTGTTTGCCAGAGAATGTTGTGACGACCAGGATTAACAGGGTTCGAAAAAGAATTAGATAAGTTCATAGAGGATAGGTGCATCAGTGGCTATTAGCCAGGATGGGCAGAGATGCAAAACCATGCGCTGAAGTGTCCCTAGCTTCTGTTTGCCAGAAGCTGGGAATGGGCAACAGAGGACGGATCACTTGATGATTACCTGTTCTGTTCGTTCTCTCGGAAGCACCTGGCATTGGCCATTGTCAAGACAGGATACTGGGTTAGATGGACCATTGATCTGACCTAGCATGGCTGTTCTTATGGATCAGTTCTTGGCCCCATGCTATTTAACATTTTTATCAGTGACCCAAAGAAAAACGTAAACAACAAGGAGTCTGGTGGCACCTTAAAGACTAACAGATTGATTTGGGCATAAGCTTTCGTGAGTAAAAACCTCACTTCTTCGGATGCAAGAAAAACATAAACACTGAAAGATTTTAGGTGACACACAAACTGAGGGAGTGGTAAATAACGATTCAGAGATGCCTGGTAAATTGGATGCAAGCAAATATGTATTTTAATACGGCTACAAGTAAATATATATATATATATAGGAACAAAAAATGTAGGCCGGACTCTATCCAGGGAAGCATTGACTCTCTGAAAAAGATTCGGGGGTTGTGGTGGATAATCATCTGAACACTAGGAGCTTGTGTGATGCTGTGGCCAAAAGAGCTAATGCGATCTTGGAATGCATATACAGAGGAATCATAGAGATCAGAAGGGACCGCCAGGGTCATCTAGTCCAACCCCCTGCCAAGATGCAAGATTTGTTGGATCTAAATCATCCAAGACAGATGGCTATCCAGCCTTCTTTGGAAAACCTCCAGTGAAGAAGCTTCCACAACCTCCTGAAGTAGTTTGTTCCATTGTCTTACTGTTCTTACAGTTAGGAAGTTTTTTTTCTTGAAATTTAACCTAATCTGCTGTGCTGTGGTTTGAATCCATTGCCTCTTGTCCTGCCCTCTGTGACAAGAGAACAATTTTTCCATCCTTTTATGACAGCCTTTCAAGTATCTGAAGACAGCTATCAGATCCCCCACCTTAATCTCTTCCAAACTAAACATACCCAGGTCCTTCAGTCTTTGCTCATGTGGCTTGCATTCCATCCCTTTAATCATCTTTGTTGCTCGCCTCTGGATGCTTTCCAGTTTCTCTACCTCCTTTCTATACATTGGTGACCAAAATTGGACACAGTACTTAAGCTGAGGCCTAACCAACGCCAAGTAGAGCGGTACTATCACCTCCTGTGAACTGCATGCTATGCCTGTTAATGCAACCTAAAATTGTATTTGCTTTTTCTGCAATAGCGTCGCATTGCTGACTCACGTTGAGGTTGTGATCCATCACAACTCCCAAATCCTTCACAGCCGTGCTGCAGTCAAGCCAGTTTCCCCCCATTCTGTATCTGTGTGTATGATTTTTCTTCCCAAAGTGTAGCACCTTGCATTTGTTTTTGAATTTCATTTTATTGTCTATAGCCCAGTTCCCCAATTTATCAAGATCCCTCTAAATTTTTGCTCTATCCTCCAAAGTATGGGCAACTTCCTCTAGCTTTTTGTCATCTGCAAACTTGATCAGTATGCTCTCTATACCTACATCCAGGTCATTAATGAAGATGTTAAACAGCATCGGACCCCAAGCAGATCCTTGTGGAACCCCACTTGAGACCTTCCTCCAATCCAAGATCATTCCATTAATCCTGGAATCCTGCTGGAATACTGTGTTCAGTTCTGGTGCCAACAATTCAAGAAGGATGTTGATAAATTGAGAGTTCAGACACCAGCCATGAGAGTGATTAAAAGATTAGAAAACTTGCCTTTTTAGTGATAGACTCAAGGTGATCGGTCTATTTAGCTTAACAAAAAGAAGGTTAGGGGGTGACTAGATAATAGTCTAAAAGTATCTACATGGGGAACAAATGTTTAATAATGGGCTCTTCAGTATTGCAGAGAAAGGTATAACACAATCTGATGGCTGGAAGTTGAAGCTAGACAAATTCAGACTGGAAATAGCTATACATTTTTTTGCAGAGCGTAATTAACCATTGGAACAATTTACCAAGGGTGGTGGTGGAGTCTCCATCACTGATAATTTTAAAATCAAGATTGGATATTTTTCCAAAAGACGTGCTCGAGGAATTATTTTGGGAAAGTTCCCTGGCCTGTATTATTCAGGAGGTCAGACTAGATCATAATGGTTCCTTCTGGCCTTTGAATCTGTGAAGTTAAAGCTGTAGATTTGGTGTGTTTTAAAGAATGTTCCTGTAAAGTTTAATGAAATTCTCTCTAGTGACCTTAATTTCAGAATGTGTTCAAGTAGTTTGCATGTACTAATTGGATTTGCTTAATTATTTTAGGGACACAGCTGGGCAGGAACGGTTTAGAACAATCACAACTGCATATTACAGAGGAGCAATGGTAGGCATGATGTAGCTGAAATTTTTTTTAATCTATTTATAATTTGCTGAAAGTGAAACCATTCAAGTTTTACTATGAAGCATAAGCATTTATAACTGTAATGAGCTTCAGAACTTGAACTCCACTTGGTGAAGTATTTGATAAGACCAGTGCTCCCATCGCTATGTTCAAATTACGCTGGTGTGGGAGTCCCACAAAGTCAGACTTCCAGTGTGACTTGCATGTGCATTTTGGTGGCAAATAAATAATGTGTGGCT